CTCCTTCTCTGTGAAAGAAAGTCCCCCTCCTTGGTTTGGCGGACTAGCCTATGATTTTTGCCATAGGCTTGTCCTGAATTACCATTCTCTACCATTCTTGCGTTAACCCATTTTTGCCGGAAAAATAATTTTTATTTTTAAGGTTAACGAACACAACCTGGGGGGGGGGGGGCTGTCCTGGATGGAACAACCTGTGTTTCCCTGTGTCTATTTAGAACAGCAGCCCAGGGACAGCCTCTGAAGTTGCAGGCAGTATGTGGTGTGAAGGCTTAGTTTTCCGGGGAAGAGTCCTTAGTTCTGAGGACTTCCTGACCCTGGCTTCGAAGAACCGTGGACGGCTGGTTTTGAAGGCCCTCCACAGATGCCTGGATCCCCTGCATGGAGTCAGCCTCCCGTGGCTCCAACTCCCAGGCACCTGAAAATGTCTTTGAGGTTGGGGCGGGGAGGAGACCCAGGGTTCTGACAGCATCGTGGGCCGGGAAGAAACGGTTTTAAGCGACAACCGGGTGAGAATCTGTCTCACCTGGCCACCAGAGGACACAGTGTGAGCACCCTGGGTGTGGTGGAGGCTGTCACACCCCAAGACCGGCTGGCTTACTCCTGAACCCATCCCAGGGGACCTGGTCCTCCTCTGCCAGTGGCCATCCTGCCATGGGGTCTGAGGGACGCGTTTTCCGTCGCTTGGAGGCAGTGCTGGACTCTTGGGTCCACCGGGCCCAGATGGGGTGGGGGTATCACCATGTCTTAAAGGAGCCCGAGGTCAGTTCTTGTACCGCGAGGGAGGCAGCCAGCTCCCCCACAGTCAAAGAGGGGCTGGCTGGAAACTCTGAAGCTGGGACTGGGAGCCGTGCTTCCCCTCCACGTGCACACCTGTCTGGCCAGCGCACCAATGGCAAGCTGCCTACCAGAGGCCAGAGCAGGCAATACCTCACACCTCTACACACAACCTGGGGAGCCCACAGAGTCACGGGGACTGAAAGCCACTCAGACCCCACTGGGCTTTTGCACCATGTCAAGCCCTCCTATTTGTCCCCAGCCCTGCAGAGCGACCCAAGCCCTCCCCCGCCCACCCCGAGCTCCTGGTCCAGGCCACTCTCTGCTCTCTCACCTTCCCCTAGAAACAGGAATCCAGGCTCCTGGCAGGGCTGATGGGCTATCTTGGGGCATCAGAGGGAGGTGTCCCAGGGCCACCCACCCCAGAATGTTGGCTGATGACCCCCCGCACCCCCAGATCGCTCACCTTCCTCACTGGTGCTTTCAGTGGTTGCGGGGACAGAGCACGGGGCTTGTGGGATGCCTGGGGACACTTGCTTGTGGCCAGCCCTCCACCGCTCAGGGCCTTGGCATCGGTTACTGATGCGCCCGAGGTGACAGCTGGAGTTTCTAAGGCAAAGTGATCCTCCGAGTAACCTGAGAAGGCCCCAGTTACAAGGCAGGCCAGCAGGATGGCTGGACAGCTTGGCCAGGGCCCAGAGTGGTCGGCCCCTGCTGCGTGGTCCTGGAGGGCAAGCAGTGATGTTCAGACGGGAGTGAAGGCTGGCTGGAGCTGGGCCATGGCTGGGTCCCCCATGAGGTCAGGGAGCTTGGTGGGTGGGCCAAGAGGGTTTCTTCAGGCTGGTTTGAGGTAGGAGGTATCACTCAGTCCAGTGATGGCAGAGGAGAATGATGAGACTCAGTAAGGCAGGGGGATCCAGGATCCACAGGGAATATCAACCCAACGGCCAGATTTACCATCATCAGAAGAGGAGGTCAGATTTACCATCATCAGAAGAGGAGGTCCAGGCCATGAAATAAGGTTTGGATGGGAAAGGATGCTCACCTAAGTAATTTTGGAAATGAGTGGAGTCCATAAAACTAAGCACACAGCGCTATACTGTAGCTGGTGCAGTCAGTCCCCACTGGGGTACAGGTTAACAACTGTGAAATCACCACACATGCATGCTGGACTTGAACAATTAAGTAAGTGGACTGTGGGGGCCAGGTTACTCTCTGGCAGAGTGGGAGGTCACAGATAAGCAAAAGGGAGAGCTAGAATGATCCACGTGGCACTGGGTTAGAGTTGGGGACATCAGCGTGAACTCGTTTGGCTTACTATAGCTGCAGATGGGCACGTACAGAAATATTTACTGGGGCTCTTGGGGGGCTTAGTCGGTTAAGCGTCTGACTTTGGCTCAGGTCACAATCTCATGGTCCATGGGTTCGAGCCCCGCGTTGGGCTCTGTGCTGACAGCTCAGAGCCTGGAGCCTGCTTTGGATTCTGTGTCTCCGTTTCTCCCTGCTCCTCCCCGGCTCATGCTCTGTCTCTGTCTCTCTCTCAAAAATAAATAAACATTAAAAAACTTTTTTAAAAAGAAATCATTACAGATATGTTCATATACATAGATTAGTATAGGAACATATGTCTGCCTGCTCTGTCAGCAAGAGGGCTGAGAAGCCAGGCATCCTGGCAGCATTGAGCACATCTAGCGCCAGATCTTGATTTCTAATATCATTCTCCAATAAAAGGAGGCAGGATCTTTGGAGAAATGACTGATTCTAGGCCTGGAAAGTCGGAGAAACTGTCAAAAACTGGAGGGGTCGGGGCGCCTGGGTGGCTCAGTTGATTAAGCATCCGATTTCGGCTCGGGTCATGATCTCATGGTTTGTGGGTTCGAGCCCCGCATCGGGCTCTGTCCTGGCAGCCCAGAGCTTGGAACCTGCTTTGGATTCTGTCTCTGTCTCTCTCTCTCCACCCCCCCCCCCACTCACACTCTGTCTCTCTCTCTCTCTCTCTCAAAAATAAATAAACATTAAAATTTTTTTTAAAAACTGGAGGGGTCTAAGGAGAGCTGATGACTGGATGTAATACGGGATCCTGGGACAGAGAAAGGACTTTAGGCAAAAACTAAGGAATCAGAACTAACTAATGACAATGGATCAGTATTAGTACAGTAGTTGTGACAAAGGTACCATAGTAACGTAAGATGCCAGCAATAGGAGACATTGGGTGTGGGGCAGCAGGGAGCTTTGTACTACCTTCACGCTCTTCTGCACATCTAAAAGTATTCTAAAATTAAATTCTTATAATCAAAACCTTTTCTCAGGATGTGGGGGATGGGGATCAGACAGAGCGGACAATACTCTTAATAGGTCATCATGTTGGAGCTGGATGTTTTCCTGAGTTTGTTTACCCAAAGGTGTTCCAAGTTACTGTGTGTGTGCATGTGAGCATGCGTGTGTGTTGGTGGGGTAGGGGGAGAGATAGATGTGTCCGTATGTGTTATGTGTCTTCTGGTCTCATTTACATTACAAACTGTGCTAAGGAGATTGCAGTATATCCTCACTGGAAAAACCAAAAACCAAAAGCTCTGGGTGAAGCACTGTCCCCAGAGCAGGGTAGAAGAATGACTGATGATGTAACAGAATACATCTTTGAGCACAGCTCCAAATGCTTAACAGGCTGCCTAATTGTTGGGTTGCACGGTAATTACACACAAACCGTGACAGTCACATGGGCGACTTTCCTCGGCATGCTCTTTTGTCTTCTTGATCAACCAAGTGATGTTTCTCTAGATGGTAAAAAAATGGAGTCTGATGGAAATGTAAAAGGGTACAACCATTATGGAACACTGCTTGATGGCTTCTTTCTTTTTTCTTTTTTAAAAAAATATTTATTTATTTTTGAGAGAAAGAGAGAGAGAGAGAGAGCGTGCTAGAGAGAACAGGGGAGGGGCAGAGAGAGAGTGGGAGAGAGAATCCTTTGCACTGTCCGCACAGAGCCTGACCCAGGGCTCAATCTCACAAACTGTGAGATCATGACCTGAGCTGAAATCAAGACTTGGGGGCTTAACCGACTGAGCCACCCAGGCGCCCTGATGGTTTCTTAAAAGCTAAACATACACTTAATCTTACAACCCCTCCATCCCACTCCTGGGTATATTATGTGCAAGAGAAATGACAGCATACATCCATGTAAAGAGCTGGATGTGACTGTTTATAGCAGCACTATGCACAATAACTCAGAATTGGAGACAATTTACGCATCTATCTATTGGAAAATGGGTAAACAGACTGTGGTCCATCCATGCAATGGAATGCGACTCGGTAATAATATGAAATGAATGACTGATGCATATACCACGGGTGAAACTCGAAAACATCATGCTAAGTGAAAGAAGCTGGTAACAAAAGGCTCTATGATTCCGTTGTTGTTAAATTCTGTAAGGTGCAAACTGATCTATTACATCAGAAAGCAGATCAGGGATTTCTGGGGCCGAGGTACAGGCAAGGATGAATTGCAAAGGACCTCAAGAAAACTTGTCCACTTCATATGTACACAGTGTGCTGTATGCCCCTCAACAAAGTTGACTTTTAAAACTTGAATTACTTGAGGGGTATACTCCTAAATCCTGTCATTTAAAGGGGATGGGGAAAGTGACACATATACCGAGCCAGACCCAATCACAGGCCAGCAATTTTCATATATTTTTAAAAAATCTCGTTTGCTTGTCACGGCTCCCCAACAAAGTCAGAATGGCTGCCTCCAGTGTAGAGAGGAGAGAATGGAGCTTCAGAGAGACGAAGGGACTTGTCCCAGGTCACACCAGCTTCCAGCGGCTGAGGGAGGGTTTGACCCTCCCCAGCCTCCACTCCCTGCCAGCCCCGAGGAAGACTTGGAGGTCCAGGACTCTGGAATCAACCACGGAAGGAAGATGCTGTCCAAGCCTGGCTCCGTGCTCCACGTTCTACCTTCTTTAAGGCTTTGCCCAGGATGAACCAAAAGGCTCAGGATGTGCTCTGGCATTTCCCACTCCAGTCTCAGGAGGTTAAGCCAAGTTGTGGGTTTCCCGGCGGTGGGAGGGGTGTCCGCGGGTTTGGAAAAAGGGACTCCAGGAGACACTTGGGCGGGTGCGGCTGAGGAGGACTGGCGTCCTTGATTCCTCTATTTTACGTGCCAAACTCAAACACCAGCACAGGCTATGGACTCTACCTCCTACTTTCAAATTAGAACCAGAACCCACCTGCTGTCTCCACCTCACTGCCACCATCCTGGTCCAAGCTGCCGTCATCCCTCTCCCAGACTGGTTCCTCAGCCTCCTCATTGGAGGCCCCCTGCAGTCAACATACAAGCCAGAATGATCTGTTAAAGCCAAAGTCAGATCCTGCCACTGCTCTGCTCCAAACCCAGCCCATCGCTTACGTCTTCTCCATGGCCAGCAGGACCCTGCCCAGCCAGGCCCCCTGCACCTCTCTGACTTCTTGCACAGACCAGGCATGTTCCCACCCCTGGGCCTTCGCACTAGCTCTTCCCTCCGCCTAGACTGTTTCTTCCACGTGCCGGCACGTACCCACCCCCAAATCTCTTCGTTTGTCTCCTGTTCCATGAGCCCTTCCCTTCTCTCCCCTTCCCTGCTTTCTGCTTCTCCAGAGCACTTCTCACCATGCACTGTGCCATGGACCTCGCTGATTTATCTGTTTTTTTTCTTTTTATTAAAACAATTTTTTTAACGTTTATTTATTATTGAGAGACAGAGACACAGAACATGACCAGGGAAGGGGAAGAGAGAGAGGAAGACACGGAATCTGAAGCAGGCTCCAGGCTCCAAGCTGCTCAGCACAGAGCCTGATGTGGGGTTAGAGTCCACCATCCCGGGATCATGACCTGAGCTGAAATCAAGAGTTGGACTCTCAACCCAGTGAGCCATCTAGGCACCCCCTGGTTTGTGTTGTTTAATGTCTGTCCCCACCCATTATAATGCAAGCCCCAGGAAAGCAGAGATTTCCGTTTTGATCATTGCTGTACCTGTGGCACCTAGAACAGTGCTTGGCACATAGTGGGTGCTTAGTATTTGTAAAAGGAGTGAGTACATTAATAAACCCTACCCTGAGGTCTCATCCCTCTAACAGAAGGAAGTACATTTACCTCCCATGGCCGCCCTAAGTGATCTTAAGGGAATCTCAAGGAAGGCCCCCAGTGTGGCACATGGTAAGCATTACTCTGTGATTATTATTATAGTCACGATTATTATGTCCTTCTGACCATTCAGTTACGTTCCCCAAAATGAGCCGAAGTCAGACATTTAACTGACTGAGCCACCCAGGCGCCCTTTATTTTATAATTTTTTAAAAAGTTTATTTATTTTGAGAGGGACATAGAGAGTGCGAGTGGGGGAGGGGCAGAGAGGGGGGAGAACCTCAAGCAGTTTCTGCATCGATATCGCGGGCTTTGAACTGATGAAACTGTGAGATGATGAGCCGAAATCAGGAGTCGGACACTCAACTGACTGAGCCACCCAGGAGCTTCAAAGTAAACTTTTCTTTTAGAGTAGTTGTAGGTGCACAGAAAGATTTCAAAGACGGTACAGAGTTTCATATACTCTACATCCAATGTCCCTGATTGCTGACATCTTACATTACTATGGCACCTCCTTACCATTAATGAACTAATACTGATCCATTATTATTACTTAACTCAGAGTTTCGTAGTTTTTACCTAATGTCCTTTCTCTGTCCACTCTTATTCTTCCCTCTCTCCTCCCCTTCTCTCTTTCTCTCTCTTTTTTTCTTTTTTTTAATGCTTATTTATTTATTTTTGAGAGAAAGAGTGCAAGGGGAGGGGCAGAGAAAGAGAGGGAGAGAGAGAATCCCGAGCAGACTCTGTGCTGTCGGCACAGAGTCCAACGTGGGGCTCGAACTCATGAACCACGGGATTATGACCTGAGCTGAAGTCGGATGCTTAACCGACTGAGCCACCCAGGCGCCCCTCAATTGAGGAGTATTGGTTAGCATTTCGTAGAATGTTCTCCATTGGGCGTGCCTGATATTTTTCTCATAGTTAGACTGGTTATAGTTTTGGGGAGGAAGACCACAGAGGCAAAGTGACATTCTTGTCACACCGTATGAGTGGTACATGCTATCACCCTGATTTACATGCTTTCAAACTTCATCACCTGCCTGAAGTCCTGTCAGTTTCCCCACTGTAAAGTACTCTGCCCCCCACCCCTTCATACTGTCCTCATTGGAAGGAAGTCACTGTGTGAAGTCCATACTTAAGGAGGGAGAGTTATGCTCTACATATGTCATTTGGGATCCTTCTGCATGGGAGATATGTCTCTTCTCTGCTATTTATTCAATCATTTATATCAGTACAGACTCATGGATGGTTTACACTTTGGGTTATAATCTAGTACTATGATTTGTTTGTTTGTTTTTTAATTTTTTAGAAGTTTATTTATTGGGGCGCCTGGGTGGCTCAGTCGGTTAAGCGTCCACTTCGGCTCAGGTCATGATCTCACAGTTTGTGAGTCTGGGCTCTGGGTCAGGCCCTGTACTGACAGCTCAGAGCCTGAAGCCAGCTTTGGAATTCTGTCTCCCTTTCTCTCTGCTCCTCCCCCACTCACGCTCTGTCTGTCTGTCTCTCTCTCAAAAATAAATAAACATAAAACAAAGTTTATGTATTTATTTTGAGAGAAGGAGCATGAGCAGGGTAGGGGCAGAGAGAGACAGAGACAGAGACAGAGACAGAGAGAGAAAATCACACGCAGGCTCCATACTGTTAGTACAGAGCTCTACACGGGGCTTGAATTCATGAATCGTGAGATCATGACCTGAGCCGAAGTCGGATGCTTAACGGACTGAGCCACCCAGGCTCCCCTCCTAAGACATTTTTAACAATCGCATACATGGAGGGTCCATCTTTGTGCTATAACTAGTCATGGATTTTGACAAGTGCGTGGTGGCATGTGTCCATCGTTACAGTATCACTGCCCTAGAATATCTCCTGTGCCTCATCTACTGAACCTCTCTGCTTCCCCAGTCCCCCAGTTACTATCTCTATAGTTTTGCCTTTTCCAGATTGTCACATAAATGGAATTATAACACATTTAGACTTGCAGACTGGCTTTTTTTTACTTAGCAATATTCATCCATGTTTTTGTGTCTTGATGGCCCATTCCTTTTTTGTGTGTGTGTCATCCCATTGTATGGATATACCACAATTTCTTCATCTATTTACCTATTAAAGGACATCTTAGGGGCACCTGGGTGGCTCAGTCGGTTGGGCGTCCAACTTCGGCTCAGGTCGTGATCTCACGGTTTGTGAGTTGGAGCCCCGCGTCGGGCTCTGTGCTGACGGCTCGGAGCCTGGAGCCTGCTTCGGATTCTATGTCCCCTTCTCTCTCTGCCCCTCCCCAACTTGTGCTCTGTCCCTCTACGTCTCTCAAAAAATAAATAAACGTAAAAAAATAAAAATAAAAAATAAAGGACGTCTTGGGGGGAAGAAAAAAGAATAGTTACAAACTGAGAGGGAGTCAAACCACAAGAGATTCTTAAATACAGAGAACAAACTGAGGGTTGATTGGGGTGGGGGAGAAGGGTAAATGGGCGATGGGCATTGAGGAGGCCGCTTGTTGGGATGAGCACTGGGTGTTGTATGTAAGCGATGAATCATGGGGATCTACTCCCGAAGCCAAGAGCACACTGTATACAATGTATGTTAGCTAGCTTGACGATAAATTATATTTTTTAAAAAAGGACATCTTGTTTTTGGTAATTATGAATAAATCACGGATTTGAAAGAGATAAAACATATGTTTTAGGGCAGACAGAACTACCTTCCAATCAGTTGGGTGAATGCATGGCACGAGTGTTGCATCATTACGCTAAGACAAAAGTTAGAATTCTCAAACTGTCTCCAAAGTGGTTGCACCATTTGCATCCTGCCAGCAAAGAATGAGACTTCTGTTGCTTCACATCCTTGCAGGCAATTGGTGTTGTAAAGATTATTTTGGGTTTTAGTCCTAATGGGTATGTAGTGGTATCTCACTGATGTTTTGGTTTTTTCCCTAGTTAAATGATGTTGAGCATCTTTTCATATGCTTATTTGCCATTTGTTGATCTTCTTTGGTGAGGTATCTGTTCAGATATCTTGTCCATTAAAATTTTTGTTCATAATTGTTGTGTCTTTCTTTTTGTTTATTTATTTATTTTGAGAGACAGAGAGAGAGAGAGGGCACAAACAGGAGGAAGGGGAGAGAGAGAGGAGAGAGAAAAGCCCAAGCAGGCTTTGTGCTGTCAGTGCAGAGCCTGATGGAGGGCTCCAAACCCATGAACCATGAGAGCATGACCTGAACCAAAATCAAGAGTCAGAGGCTTAACTGACTGAGCCACACAGTAATTATTGAGTTTTAAGAATTAAAAAAATTTTTTTAATGTTTGTTTTTGAGAAAGAGAGACAGAGCGTGAGTGAGGGAGGGGCAGAGAGAGAGGGGGACACAGAATCCAAAGCAGGCTCCAGGCTTTGAGCTGTCAGCACAGAGCCTGATGTGGGGCTCGAACTCACAGACTGTGAGATCATGACCTGAGCCGAAGCTGACGCTTAACCGACTGAGCCACCTAGGTGTCCCAAGAGTTTTTTTTTTTATGTATGTGTTTTGGGTCCAAGCCCTTTACCTGATGTGTGATTGACAAATATTTTCTCCCAGTAGGTAACCTGTATCTTCATTCTCTTAGCAGTGCTATTCACAGAGCAAAGTTTTTAAATTTGATAAAGTCCAGTTTATTAAATTTGAGTGGGGGGATTATGCTTTTGGTGTTGTATCTAGAAACTCATCACCAAACCCAAGGCGGTATGTATTTTCTCCTAATTTTTTTCTTCTAGAAAATTCTAGAAAACATGCAGCCCAACCCTGGTGCCCTGTTAAGTCTATGTTGTAGCTGATCTGACTCCTCCATGAGAACAGGCTCCCCCCCCCTTAAATAATCCACAGAAATAATCCACAGAAATATGGATACTGATCGGTATGGGCTGAATTTGTCCCTTCAAGTCCATATGTTGAATTCCTAACTTCCAGAACCTCAGAATGTGACTGTTTCTGCAGATAAGGCCTTTCAAGAGGTGATCGAGTTAAGATAAGACTGTTAGGGTGGGGCTTAATCCAACATGACTGCTCTCCCTATGGGAAGAGGGAATGTGGCCACAGAGACACCAGGGATGTGCACTGACTCAGGAAAGACTACGTGAGAAGGTGGTCATCTACCAGCTTCAGGAGAAACCAACTCGGCCGACACCTTGATCTCAGACTTCTAGCCTCCAGAACTGAGAGAAAATAAAT